GGACAGGATGGTGAGAGGCAGAATGGTGGGGGACAGGATTGTGGGGGGACAGGATGGCGGGGGACAGGATGGTGAGGACAGGATGGTGAGAGGCAGAATGGTGGGGGACAGGATTGTGGGGGGACAGGATGGTGGGGGACAGGATGGTGAGGACAGGATGGTGAGAGGCAGAATGGTGGGGGACAGGATGGTGAGGGGACAGGATGGGGAAGATCTACTCCTGTATCTGGTGGCTGGATAATGAGGGTCAGAAGGGAATAGCACAGTCTAGGAAGAAAGGGAGTCCCCAACTGCCATCAGAGGACCAGTCTGGGGCAGGAAGTGCCCATGCCCCCTCCCCCTCCTCACATCCAGTTTTCTTTAAGAGGGAAGAGACCAGAGATGGCCGTCAGCTGTCCCCAGACCACCCTGATGGGGACCAGATCCTGGACCTGTAGTTGCTGAAGGGATTGCTGTGGCCCTGAGTGAGGCTGCACAGGTGCCAGATGCGGCATTTGGATCTTCACAGCTATTCAGGGGACTTGAAAGACTCAGCCCAGAGAAGGACCTGAGCACCAGCACCCAGGGCTCTCCCCAGCAGCTGCTCCTGTCCCTTTCTCTCCTCAAATCCATCTCCTCTTCTGTGAGTCCCACACATGCTTCAACACCATTACCCACGGGCATCTGCATATGAGGGTACTCAGACATCCTGGCTTTCTATCCATCTGCCATGTAACCTTAGGGATGTGACTGTCCTCAGTGGCATAAATAACGCCTGGGCTTCCAGGGAGCCAAGGTGACAGTTAAGCAAAGCTCAAGAGGGGCGGGAAGGGCAGGTGCTGCCAATAGCCAAATACCATGGAGGACCTGGGGCCACGGACACCCTGCCACGCTGCTGGGGTGAGAGCAACGATGACTCCCCACAGGGTCCACAGTCACGTCCTTAGTGTTTACCCAAAGGAGGTAAAGGATTTGTGCCTACACCAAACCCACGTGCACGGATGTTTGTGGAACCGTTTCCATAATCCCTAGGATTTGCAGGCAAGCAGGATGTCCTTCAGATGGGCAGTGGTGGCACACACCCGGCGTCTCGGCACCCTGGAGGCAGGAGGATGAGTTTTAGGCCACACACTAAGGCCGGATCTCAGAGCACAAAGGCAAGAACAATGGTAGCAATACCGGCATGTCCTTTCCAGACCAAATGGGCCGGCCTGTGGTCTACCCAGAAAGTGGGATACTAAACACGTCTAAGCAGGAGCCAGCGGGCATAAAGACTAGAGGAGCCCTTAAAATGCACACAACGAGGGAAAGCCTGGGTGGATGTTGGGTGGCAGCGGTCGGGCGGGGTACAGAGAACTCTAGGGTTCTGCCAGGCCTTGGTTTCTGACAGCTATGGACACTAGCCATCGGTGGCAATAAACATTGCCGCTCGTGCAAGCTGGGGACCTGCGTGGACTAAGGAACAAGGACGGTGACTTACAGGAGCTTTATCCTTGTGGCTCGGCTTCTCTGTAAACTGAAAACTGGCTTGCTAATTAGCACTTTAGAGGTTTGTGGGCACAGGGCAGCTCCCAGGATGGCTTTAGTGAGGGTGGGGGAGAGGCATGGGAGAGAGCGCTAGAATAGTATGCTGTCATTAAAAAGGGCAGGTGGGTCTCCGTGTGCCAGGCAGGAAAGGATGGGGATGAGGCCAGAGGAAAGAAAACACAAAGACACCGGACTGGTGGCAGGTGTGTATAGGGGACGCTAAGGTCTGTTCTCAGCAGCTTAGGAAGCTTTGGGTAGCCCAAGTCTGTTTTACCTATTGAAAAAATAGAAGAAAGAAAAACCATAAAGTACATTTTAGACATATAAAAAGACAAGCAGGTTCAGCTTTTTGTTTCTTTAATGAGTGGGGTCTGCGGATTTCCAGCCAGCCAGGCAGGCCCCAGAGCGACTGGGCCCGTCTGTGTGGGTGGAATGCCCCCCCTCCACACCCACTACCTGCCTTACACCTTCCCTGCTGAGGTTCAGGGTCAGAGCCCACAGCCCCCAGTCTCCAGACTACCGACCACCCAGCTTTTCCTGGAAAGCTTGGGTCTGTGTGGGCGGATGAGGGGGGGTTGCTTCAGAGAGGAACTGGAAGGGGGGGTGTTCTGTGCCTCAGTTTCCCAGTAGACGATGACTCCCTCCGGTTAATGGGCAGGTGCTGCCCCTCCCCCACGAGGGGGCTTTACTAAGCTGAAATGTTTATGTTTTTTCCTTTAACCGTTCCCTTTTCAGAACAGGCTTTCCTGTAGCCCAGGCTAGCCTTAACGTCGTTGTGTAGCAGGGGATCTTCCTGACTCCATCTCCGCTGCTGGGATGGCAGACAGGACCCTCACTGAGGGACCTACGGCCCTGGCGTGCTGTGCCCTTGGCCTGAGTGGCTCCCTTCCAGAAAGCCGTGCTCTGTGGGGAACACACCCTGGCCTGTCCCATGTTCACAGCTGCCTAAGCTTGCCTCACAGACCAACTCCCGTCTTGTGGACTCAGGCGCTGGCCACCGCCCTGAGTTCCATAGGACCCAGACTCCTACATGTCCTGGTCCTTTAATTTTCATATTAAAGTGTGCTGGTGCCAAGGTCAGGGGCAACCCATGGGAGTCCGTTCTCTGTTCCCAGCTGTGTGGGCTTCAGAGATCGCACCCAGGGCACCAGGCTCGGCAGCAGACACCTTTCCCCTTGCTTTTTAAAGATCCATCTTTATTATCTTCAATTGCACTTGTGGTGTGGATGCAGCTGCCCACAGGTTCCTTGCGGCTGGGGCGAGACTGTGAATGGCCTGTCGCGGGTGCTGTCTGCCATGCACTGAGCCCCGTGTATTGTTCTTACCTGCTGGAGAAGGCAGGACCCTGGACCAAGCCCACACCAGAGGTAAGCATCTCAGGCCTGGGTGCTCTCCTGGCAGGCTACACCATAGCCACCAGCTAACCCGACCTTTCACTCTCAGTCATTCCATGTGGAATTATTTGAGCCTTGCTGGGTCAGAACCAGGGGATGTAGCAGCCAGGATGGAGCCCGTGAGAGCAGCAGAGGGAAGGGATGAGGGATCCCCCAGAAGAGACATGCAGAAGCTGTAAGTGCCAGCTAGGGAAGAACCACTGGGCAGAGGTCTCACTGTGGGCAAAGGGACTGGGGCAGGATGGAGCCCGCATGCTGGAGCACGGGGGAGGCCTGTGTGGCTGGAGCAGGGGGGGGGGAGGAGCAGAGCAGGCACTGTGGGCTGCAGGGAGGACTTGGGCCTTGGTCCTGAGGAAGAGGAGGAGGAGGGCTGGGGCAGGGGTGGGAGTTCTCAGCCACACTTCAACCCTGTGTCCTGCTGACACTTTTCTGGTTTGCCGGCAAACGCCACTGGGCCACACTTCCTGTTCCTGTGCCCATATGTGTATTCTAGGAAAAGGTATGTCCCAGGGTCCCCAGCACCTGCTCTGACCCGAGGATGACCTTCTCTTCCAGGCCTTCAGGGAGCCTGTCTTGATGGTTCCCCATTGCTCCATACGGGAGGCTGCAGGGCATTCTGGATGAGGGCCTCTGTGTGGAGGTGACGTCAACCCTCGCTGGCTAGTAAATGTTTATTGCCAACGGGGCCTGGATTTGGGGTTCCCTGGAGCCCGGTGAGCAGCCGCCCCATCCTGCCCCTTTCTGGGGGTCTGGACTCTAGCCCTGGCAGCTAGCCCAGAAAGGGCTGGGTGGGCTGCAAGCAGAGTCAGCAGCACCCTGGAAGCCAAGAGGGGTAACAGGCATTGGCTTTGAACACCGCCCCCCCAGACCTATGGAAGATGCAATAGTGACCAGTGGGCAGGGCAGCACCACAGCAGGCCCCGGTGGAGGTGAAGGAAAGGGAGATGGTGACCACCCAGGTTCATTCAGACCGCTGTGGGGACACATCCAGAACCAGGAAGCTGGGAGGGACCTGCTGTGCAGAGGAAAGTCATCCTTCCCGTGTGCTAGGGCAGAGCTGAGGCTCCATGCATGTTTTGAGAGATACAGCCAGGAACCCAGGATTCAAAGCCAGAGAGCAAATGAATTCCAGCATTCTGGGGCCTGAGCTGTGTCCTTTGCATGTCTTGGGGTATCCCCGTTCTTTCTCAGGGAGCCCCAAGTCCAGCTCAAACAGTCTTGGGGATGACCCTGAGATGGCACCTGGAGCTGCAGGGGACGCATGCCAGTTTGGGCCCCCAGCAGTGAGTGCCTGGGCCCAGCAGCTCCTCAGGCAGGACATAGAGCTTGATTTACGGCCGCTGCGGCCTGCTGGAGCCCGCTGCTTCCTCCACAATTGCCAGGAAGCTCAGCCAGTGCTGGGCCGGGCGTCGCCAGCATTCCGGGGCCACCTAAATCATGGGGCTGTCAGGCACTGGGCAAGGATTCTGTTAGGCAGGGATTGAGCTCCATGTCACCTGGCCAGGCTGATGGGCTCCATTCTGGGCTTGAGGCTTGCGGTGGCCTGCAGCACAGGACAGCCCATCCAGGACTCTCTGCTCCATTGCCCAGGAACTTGGAGTAATGGGTGTGTGGGCCCAGTGTTTACCAGAAGCTGTTGGCTTTGTGGGCAGGCCTGGGAGGCGATGGCGGCAACCTGAGTGTGGGGGTGGTCAGGTTTCCACTCGCTGGTGGCTGACCACGGGAATGCGGATTGTGTCAATGCAGCTCTCAACCCTAGCTCCCTCTGGCCCCAGTGGGCAGCTCCCCCACTGCAGGGCCAGGTCAGCAGCCTTGGCACACCCACACTGGGCACGTGTGGTCTTCCGGTCTTCTCCCTGGTTGCCTGAGTTCTATGTGTCCAGAGCAAGTCTGGACCTGTGTCATCTCATCCACTTCTGCATATACGCACACTCGCGCGCGCTAACACACACCCCTCCCCCGTGGTTGGTGCATGGCTGCAAGGAAGTCTCCAGGACACTAGGCACAGGGACACACGGTGTTTATTTGCTGCAGGGTTCCACTCACACCTTGGGGCTGGCGAAGAACTCCCAGCCTTCCAGCTTTCCCATCTTGAACAGGGCGGCTGCGGTGCCCATGTATACGCAGCCTGTAGCTGCAGTCCCGTAGTTGTGAGCTGTGGGGAAAGACGGCATCAGGCACAGGGTGTTCTAGGTGCAACCCTGGAGCCCCCCACGGCGATAGGGCTGATGGAACTAGGGTTCTTTAGAGACCTATAGAGCCCAGCAGTGAGTTGTGGAAATGGGGACACCAAGGCCCAGCTACCCTGTACCAACTATTCCCCTACTCCAGGTCATGTCGGGAGGGGATGTCACTGGCTCCTGGCAGTTAAGACACCTCCCTGCTACAGCCTTTCCCCATGGTTGAATTGAGGGCCAGCACGGCTTTCCCCTGGCCAGACGCCCAGGACCACACAGAGTACGAGGAGGCCTGGGGTTGAAGTCAAAGTTGGGTTGTAGGCAAATCCAGACCTTACAGGGCCTCCAGCTGGGAAGAGACGGCCGCCGGTTCCCAGTGTGCACATGCAAATGGTAGAAGAATGGGGGGGGGAGGCCTCGTCCCACCCTGGAGATGGCTACTGAGTGTCTGTGACACAGGGTGGCATGGGCAGGACAGCCATCCAGGAGGGCATTTAGGTAGAAGGACTGCCCGGTGCTGAAATGGCGGCAACTGCCTGTCTGGCGTGGAACAGAGGGAGGAGGCTGAAGTCATCACGCACTGTGTGTGTGTGGGGGACATGACGATACTCACTGCGCGCTCCCAGGGTCAGGCCTGCAGCGCAGCCTCCAATGAAGTAGTTCAGGGGGTCATCTGGCTTCTCACGGACCTGGGCACTGACACAGGTGGCGAGGCCAAACATAGCTCCGACAGCAGCTGTAAGGGGCGGTGGGGGTTGAAGGTGGGGAAATGGAGGCGGTGTTGAGCCAGTACCTGGCTGTCCCTGGGCAGACAAAGCTGGGTGCCACCACCCTCTGCCCTCTCAGCCAGGCCAGGGTCAGGGTCCAGGACCGTTGCCAGCTCACCTGCAGTGAACGTGTACCGGCCAGCCCTGGCCACTGCTTCCAGGTGGGTGTCTGCAGGGTTGAGAACGACGCTGTAGGCTGAGCCTATGGCGCCTGTGGAGGAGAAAGGGCGGAGGTCTGGGAAGCTCTGCCGGGATACAGCAGAACTCAAACTCAGGCCCACCTCTTGCTGTTCCCCGACCCAGGGCCCCGTGCCATCGACGGCACGGCTGTCACAGTGCCTCCTCCACTCCCATCAAAGGCCAGATTTTCCAAGGGGCTGGGACCTGGGCCCAATCCGGCTTGGCAGCAACCAGGCTCAAGAGAGGCTAGACCTTTCACGTGCCAGTGGCTCCGCCAAGACGCGTCTCCACACCTGGCTGTCTCCGTGCCTTCCACGCCCACCCTACCCCCACGCTGGTCAGCTTTTCCATTCCCTACTGCCCTGTACTTCACACCATGGCTTATGTAAGAGCTGAGGCCAGGGTGGATGCTGAGCCAGGAGCCCAGGTCTGGGTGGACGGCAGGGCAGCCCCAGTTACTATCCACAACTCCTGGAGCAGTTGCTACAGGTTTCCTACTACACGGAAACTGCCTGGCTGGCTGGATTCTGCCGTTACTCCCTTTCACAGACGGCGAAGCGGCCCCAGAGAAGCAAAGCCACCAGTCTGGCACAGCTGGCCACAGGACAGTGGGTGTTGCCTCTCAGCCATCCTCCAGCCCCAGGGGGTGTGCCACATTTGCCTTTCCTGGTGAGCTCTGGGAGTTCCGAGCTGACGGACTGAGGCCTCCAGCTGGGCTGAAGGACGGGTCTGGACACAGGGACCCTGAGTGACTTCACTGACCATGCCTTATGAGCCAGGGGTCCTAAGACCCATTCCCAGACTGACCGCCTCCCACCTTCTCTAGCTGCTGCCACTGCGATGACTGTCCCACAGCCAGAACAGGCACAGCCTCGGCGCCACTGGCAGCATGGGAGCCTCCAGGAGCAGCTGTGCCCACCAGCCACCATCGCTATGGGGGCTATGCTGCCAAGGCAAGAGTTCATTCACCCACTCACTGAGGGCCTCATTCATTCATGAGTTCCTCAAGTTGTGAGACCCCATTGGGAAGGTAGGCTCACTGCCCTCCTGCAATGAACCCTGAGGGGAGCCAGACAGGAAACCAGTCCCCCCCAGGGGAATGAGAAGCCTGGGGACAAAGAAGATGTACAGGGACGATTGCTCAAGCAGCTACAACTTCCCACCTCCTCCCACACTGGCTTCCCAGCACTGCTTCTGGCAAGGACCGGCTTAGCTCAGCATCCACCTGAGACACTCCAGCCCTACCCCACGCTGCACACGCTCATCCTCTGGCTCCAACGCCAACGTTCCGTCAGTTTTAAAAGCCCCCAAATCAGCCGGGCGGTGGTGGCGCACGCCTTTCATCCCAGCACTCGGGAGGCAGAGGCAGGTGGATCTCTGTGAGTTCAAGACCAGCCTGGTCTACAAGAACTAGTTCCAGGACAGGCTCCAAAACCACAGAGAAACCCTGACTCGAAAAAGCAATAAATAAATAAATAAAAATAAAAGCCCTCAAATCCATGGTCATGTAGCGGTGGCACACCCCTTAATCCCAGCAGAGGTGGGCAGATGTCTGTGAGTTCAAGGCCAGCCTGGACAAAGCACAGAGTCCTGTATCAAACAAAACAAAATTAAAACAAACAAAAATTCTCCCACTCATCTGACCCCACAGCACTTGCCTGGAGGGAGAAAAGCCTTGGGGAGGACTTATGAATGAGGCCTGTATACACACTGCAAGAGCATGAGTGACCGAGGCTTTGTAGATGCAGTGAGAGTCACCCCAAAAAGATGTCTGACATTCCTAACAAGTGTGCCCCATCAGGAATCTTACAGTCCTCACGGTGGCGCATGCTTTTAATCTCAGAACTCAGGAGGCAGAGGCAGGAGGATTTCTTTGAGTTCCATGCCAGCCAGTGCTACGGAGGAAGATCTTGTCTCAAAATAATAGTAAACAAATAAATATCTCCCGTGGTGGCGCTCGCCTTTGATCCCAGAGCTCGAGGGGCAGGGACAGACAGTTCTCCGAGTCCGAGGTCAGCCTGGGATAGACGGTGGGACCCTGCCTGAAATACCTCAAAACAGACACAAAAAAATAACAACAACAAAGCATTTCCCAGGGTGTAGCCCTGTCATCCAGGCACTTCGGAGGCTGAGGCCGGAGGATCGTGAGGATCAGGGGCGCAGGGCCACCCTCGGCTACACAGCGACTCTGCGGTCTAGTATCTTCAAAACCTCGAATGGTCTGATCACTCCATGACCCTAAAATGATCTTCACATTTTCTCCAGACTCCGCGATAATGGCTTGTGGCCCCTTGAAATCCTAGGGGCAGCGGGCAAATAGGTCTACACCCCTCAGAATCCTCAAGCTCCTGCACCTTCCGGCCCCGCACCGCGGGCCCCCTGACCTCCGCGTGCCCTCCGCTCTAGGGGCCCGCGCTCACCGATGAGGCCGCCGAACGCAGTGGTGATGTAGGTCTTGCGGTGACACTGGGTGCCGTCGGGGATCTCATCGTAGGCCCGGAGGAGCCACTGGGCCATGGCTGCGCCGGGCAGTGCACGGGCAGACCCTTCCGCGCCGCGGCGAGCTCAAGGGCAGCCGGCCGGGCCAACTCTCGCGAGGCTTCCAGCGCGCAACTTTATTGAGCGTCCCGGACGTGGACATTGCTTGTTCGCATGCGCGCGGAGCGGGCTGGGCGTGGACGGCTCGGTTTCACGCAGTAGGAACGGTGTCGTGCGCGTCCCCACGAGCGAATCTGGGTAGGGACACCCGTGACTTCATTCTTGGAAAGGTAAACTGAGGAGCACCGCTGCCAGTCAAGGAAAATGCAGCCTGTCCTAGCAAAGACGGCGTTCCTAGTGGAGAGAATGTCGATGCCATTGACAACCCGCCATCCAAGAGATTGACAGGTTGCCAGATCAATTGCAGTACAGCAATTTCGGCGTAAGGCGGGTCAATAGGCGAGATTGACAGTGGATACACCAATCGTAATGCAGGTTTTACAGAGCCCAGCGCTTCGGCCAATCAGGGACCCGGGATGTGTGTAGGGTGTGGCTATTCGCATTCTCAATCAGAACCGCGTGCGACTATTTGGGGGCGTGGCCTATTTGGGCGGGGACTATCGGCATAGGGACCAATCGTAAGTCGAGGAGGATATAATTGATGGATCTCAAGGCCTCGTCTGCGGGGCTTCAAGATCGCCCTGAGCTCGGAGGCAAACGGAAGAGACTTGAGTGGCACCTAAAGGGCGTGCCTGCCTTAGCCCTGCCCCCTCAGAATCGTGCCCAATAGCGAGAGTCCAAGAGGAAGGAGCACAGTTTTTCTCAGGGGGCGGGGCCTTCCCTGCGCGCTGGGCGGGGCCTCGCGGGGCGGGGCGGGGCCTGTGTGGCGGCCAGGGGACCATGTCTGCGCCGCCCGCGCTGCAGATCCGGGAGGCGAACGCGCACCTGGCGGCCGTGCACCGGCGCGCCGCGGAGCTGGAGACGCGGCTGCTGGCGGCGGAGCGCACGGTCCGCGCGCAGGCCGAGCGCCTGGCCCGCCACGACCAGCAGCTGCGCGCCGCCCTGGACGAGCTGGGCCGCGTCAAGGACCGGTGAGGCCCCGGGGGAGGCCCGGCCGACTTCCCGGAGGAGGCGGGCGGCAAGGGTTGGGAACCAGGAGCCAAAATCTCCAGAGCTCTAAGTGTCTGGCATCGCAGCACTGAGGAGGCTGAGGCCGGCGGATCAGGAGTTAGGAGTACCGCCTGGGCTATATGAGTGTCTCAGACTGCTCAAACGGGGCCAGCTGTCCCGCAAGGCCTGGTCCCCTGGTACTGCACGCCCTGGGGGCCCTAGAGTTTTGTGCCCGTCTGAGGATCGGAGGAGGTATGAATTGAAGAGCATGTCCCAGGGGCTGCTGGGTAGGAGCCTATCCGTAGGATGTCAAAACCCATATACAGTAGTCAGAGCTGTGGCAACCATTTTGGGCCACAAGGAAGTTCTATTGAAGGAGCCACAAAACTGGCATTGTTTTGTTTTGGCCTGGAAGGCCCTGTGTAGTCAGGATACCCTTCAACTCCTGATCCCCTGGAGTGCTGGGATGATAGTGTGCTAGGGATAGAACCCTGACTCCAGGCATGCTGTGGAGTTGGCTTTGTGGGTACACTCACTTGACATTAAGAATGGGAGGCAGAGGCTGGAGGATCTCTGAGTTCCAGGCCAGCCTGGTCTACACTGCGAGTTCCAGGACAGCCAGGACTACACAGAAAAACCCTGTCTTCTCGATAAAGCAAGACAAAAAGAAAGATAAAGAATTTTATCCTATGGGGTAGAAGAAGTGAACCAACTCTTACAAGCTGTACCCCAACTTACATGTGGGCATTTGGGCACACATACAAGCATGCAAATAAAGAGGCAGTGGAGGTAGGCAGAGCCTCTGTACCCCAGTAGTAACTACCTCCTTTGGCCCCCTCACCAGGGAGATTTCCGCCCTCCAGGAGCAGCTGCTGAGCTCGGAGGCCACTGTCCGCAGTCTGCAGTCTGCAGTGGACCAGAGGGACCAGTTGATCCAGCAGCTGCAGCCCCAGGCTGACCTGCTGCAAGACATCGCTCGCCGTCGACCACCCCTGGCTGCGCTGCTGGCCGCCCTGGAGGAGGCTGAGCGACTGGGCCCCTCGCCAGCCAGCAGCCAGGGCCAGCTGCTTCCCGATGGGCCCGGCCCACCCCTGGGCAACAGCACTGGGGAGGGCCAGGATGACCTGCAGCCTGCCGTCTTTGGGACCACAGTATGAGCTGCCCTGGCGGATCAGATCTCAGAATGTGTGGCCAAAGCCCAGAGCCCCAGGTGTCACCTGAAGGGTCCTGGGATATTATTGGGATCTCATAAACATTGGAACAAGTGAAAAGCCAAGATCCCATTTAAAACAGTTCCACCTCCCTCCCCCAGCACTTGGGGCATCTGCTACATTCAGTTGATTTTAAATAATTCAAAAATAAACAAAGGCTGAGGCAGTGGCTTAGTAGTGGAGCCCCCCGCCCAGCATGCAGACATGCTGGCAAACTGACAGAGGGACAGGACACCCGACATCCCAGCACCAGTAAATTAACAGCAGCTTGACTCCGAAGCCATGCTGTTTCCTGTTGGAGACACAGTTCCACATAGCCCAGGCTGGCCCCTAACTTGCTGAGGGTGACCTTGAGCCCTGCTGGGATGACAGGCACCCAACACCAGGCCCTATCTTTTTTTTTTTTTTTTTGCTGTGAGATGGGGTCTCTCTCGACAGCCCAGACTTCTCTGGAACCCAGAGTCCTCCCAAGTGCTTTGAATACAAGTGCAAGTCACATGCCCAGGTGACATGAGTCCTGACCCATCACCACTCATCCTGAGGCAGAATCTCCTCTGTTGCTTCTGTGTAGGAAGACAAATCATGAATCCAGGATCCATTTCCCTTGCGTCCATTCCCTCTGACACCACAGTCCAAGCCTCAGCCTTCCCCCATGACACTCAGGTTTCTCTCCAATGTCCCTTTCAGAGGGGCCTTCTGACCAGCGTCCCTGTAGTAATTACTACAGCCTGGTTGCTGCCCTCCACTGTGATTGCTTTTTTTTTTTTAAGGCAATTTTGTGTAGCCCAGGCTGGCCTCTGAACTTCTATCTTCATCAGTGCCTGCCACAGCTGATGAGGCCCCCAACAGCCAGGAGCCTCCTGGACATCTGATGAGCCCTTGCCCTGTTCCCAGGGACAATGGTGTTTTTGTAGCAAGTCTTCTTTTGATACCCTGAGAGGATCTATTTTGTAACTCTGGTTTCGGTGCTGTCCCGGGCCTGCGATGGTGAGGGTGTGTTGTTTTCGTCAGAGCAGCAGAAGAGTCCTCACACGCCCCTGCAGCCAGAGTGCAACCAGCGCTTGGTCTGTTGAGTTTCATGGTCCTGGTGCTCAGAGAATTGTCCTGGAACAGCCACCAAGTGTGTGTGTGTGGGGGGGAGATAGGGGCTGCTCCATCCAGCTGGTCTCTGAATCCTGCATGGTGCTGACTTCCTGCCTGGGACCCTCAATAGAGGAAACAGAGGGGAAAAGGGAGTCATTTGTACAGGGGAGAAGCACCAGAATAAACCAGTTATTTCTAAGCCTGGGCTGTCCTTCCTGTGGGGACTGGGGTTGGAGTCAGGAGCCCTGCAACTCTGCACAGGCTCTGACAGCTGAGGAAACTCAGACCAAAGGGAAGGGAAACTGCTGTGTACCAAAGCAACTTTGAATTTAGGGGACAAGGATTTATTGGTTTTATTACCCAAGCCCCACCTTCCACTCCCCAGCCTGTGACCATCCAGATGGGGGATGGGGCTGGGGGGAGTGTTTGTAATGCTGAGATTTACCTCCTAGCCTTGTATCTTTTTTTTTTTTTTAGGTCCCCATGCTCCCAATTTACTCAGGAGATCTTGTCTGTTTCTACTTCCCATGTAGATTAGATCTATGCGTGTCTCTCTTAGGGTCCTCATTGTTGTCTGGGTTCTCTGGGATTGTGATTTGTGGCCAGCCTTGCAACTTAAGACTCAGAATTGCTTGGGCTGTAGCTCAGTGGCAGGGCTTACTTGCCACGGGTTGGGTCCCCGGTTTCTATCCCAGCACTGTGAAAAGGAACGTTCCCAGCAATTCTTGATTATATTTTACATTTCTCTATAGAAAAGCATTGGTGCCTGAGGGGTGACTTAGCAACATTTGCTTGGCATGCCAAGGCTCTGGGTTACATCCCCAGCACCAAAAACTGAAAACAATGAGTTAGTTTTCTGACACTCGCCAATGTTTGGAGTACAACAGGCCATCCGTTTGGATAGCAAAATGTCACTTCAGTTTCTCATTAACTCAATCACGACACCGGTTGGCTTGCAAACTCATGGACAATGTTTCTTTTGATTTTGAGGCAGCCTCACATAGCCTGGAACTCCTATCCCTCCATCTCCTGCACGCTGAGATTATACCTGTGTACCACCAGGCCCTGTTTTTTTTTAAAAGACAAAGGTTTCAGTCTGTAGCCCAACCTGGCTTCAGACTTTCAGCTCTGTCCCCACCTCAAGTCTCCCAAATAGCTGGGGTACCCCTGAAGTCCAGAGTGAGATAGCTTGCGTGTCCCAAGTCTTCAGCCAGGTTTGAAGCTACTGTGGCCCCAGGGGTAGACAGGGGTCTGGGAGTCAGTCATAGTGCCTGCCCTTCTTGGCAAGCTAATGTATCTGGCGCAGAAAGAGTTACAGTCGGGTCCCTCCCTGTCCCCAGAGCCATCTGTATTGCTTAGCAACAGCTGTGCCAGGCAGGACGCACAGACCTCCCCAGAGCTCCACCGGCCAGACCTACATACACAGGCAAGCCAGGTGAGTGGTTGGGGTGATCTTGGGCTATGTGGTATTAGCAGCTCTGTCAGGCCAGCCGAGTACAGAAACCCATCGCCAAGTTCTTGTCTCTGCAGTGTTCATTTGTGCTCACAATGGACACCGTGAATGCCACCATAGAAAGGCTGAGAGCCCAGTGTCTATCCCGAGGGGCCTCAGGAATCCAGGGCCTGGCCAGGTGAGCCCTCATGCCCGGTATTCTCGGCACCTTCTGGTCCGGCAGTTCCCATCAATGGAATCCAACTCGGTATCTTGCTCCCCAGGTTTTTCCGCCGCCTGGACAAGGATGGTAGCCGGTCCCTGGATGCAGAGGAGCTGAGGCAGGGCCTGGGACAGCTGGGGCTGGATGTGGGGGAGGCAGAGGCAGAGGCACTGTGCAAGCGCTGGGACCGTGATGGCAGTGGGATGCTGGACCTGGAGGAGTTCCTGCGGGCATTACAGGTGAGGCTGGCCTCAGACACTGTGAGGGGTGCCAGTGAGAGTGGCCAGCCCCAGCACCCCTCAGTCACTGTCCCCTTCTACAGCCCCCTATGTCCAAGGCCCGAGAAGCCGTCATTGCAGCTGCCTTTGCCAAGCTGGACCAGACAGGGGATGGTGTGGTGACCGTGGACGACCTGCGAGGGGTATACTCTGGCCACGCTCACCCCAAGGTGTGCAGTGGAGAGTGGCCGGAGGATGAGGCCCTCCATCAATTCCTCGACAATTTTGACACATTTGAGAAGGATGGGCAGGTGTGTTCACCTGGTACCTTCCACAGGGCAGCTTCCCTGGCCTGGGTCCCACTCATAGCCCTCCCCCCTCATAGCCTGTTGTCTCCCTCCCCATAGGTCACACTGGCAGAGTTCCAAGACTACTACAGGGGACTCAGCGCTTCAGTGGACACTGATTCAGAGTTTGTGGCCATGGTGAGCAATGCCTGGCGCCTCTGATGTTGTAGCCCTCAGCTGCCTGACAACTGCCCTTAGCCTAGTCCCCTGACCCATCTGCTACTGTTACCACTGTCCTGGGGCCCCAACTAGACACAGGGAGGGGAATATGTGAGAATGGGAGGTTGAAGAACCGGCTGGACCAGGTCTTTGGCAGGGCCACCCGCAGGCCTGGCTGGATTGAGCACTGACCCCATCAGGGCCCCCCTTGGCCACACCCAGCTTGTCTGGTTGCCAGGTGCACGGGAAGTCGGGGTTTTAGTTAAAAGTTTTAATGCAGTTCTCAAATACATTTCATATGACAATCTTACATAAGTGTTCCAAAACACATGGGCGACGTCTGGAGTCACTTGTCACTGACTGGCTAAGGCTGGAAGCAGTGTGACTGACCCATCTGCCAGGCAGCCTCTGGTATCCTTGCTGGCTCCCCGGGTGTGGCCCGGGCAGAGATGGAACCACACAGTCTATGGTGGGGGTGTCACCTTCTGCCCGAGGACAGGCCCTTTGCCTTTCAGGGGCCCTAGATGGTCAATCCCTCGGGGCCGTGCTGCTTAGGGAGGCCCAGGTGGTGCAGGTGAACAAGAGCACAGGAACCCTCCTGGGCCAGCGTTGTCCAGACAGGCGTTCTCAGGCCCAGACCTAGGGAGTCGCTGTGGGGGCCGGACGCTTCCCACAGGGACATCAAGTCAGCTCAGCCAAAGAGCAGCTTCACCCAGGTCCTCGGAAGCCAGGCCATCAGAAATGAAAGAGGCATCAGCCATGTGAACCTGGCAGAGTGGGAAGCTGAGCAGACAGCAGGTTGCTCTCAACAGAACGCTGAGCTCAGAGTTTGAACTGTTGCTGCCCAGGGAGGGAGAGCTGGTCACCACGAGGCTGGGTGACCAGGCCAGGTCTGAGAGCCAGCGGAAGCTGTGACAGTGTCAATGTGCCTTTTCGATCGGAGGAGGGCAGGGATCGTTCTTTCTGCTCATCAATATGATGAGGTTTGAGTCCCAAGCCGCATCCTGGCATCCCCGTCTGCTGCAGAGGGGACACGCGGATCCAGCCTGCGGCCACCCCAGCAATAGACACCACCACGACGCGGCCTGCAGGGAGGGACGGGCAGCGGACAGACGACAAAGCAGCAGCCTGGCGCAGTGGCTCCGCTGCTATGTGCTCCCAGGAGTCTGGCCATCTCCTTCATCACCTGCGCCTGTGGGAAGAGTGGGTCCCTCAGCCCCAGCACAGCCACTGTGGCCAGCTGGAGTCCCTCCCACAGGCCCCATGTTGCTCACCAGCTCCTGAGGGAGTGACCCCTGAGGGAGTTAGCACCGCATCCTCATCACTGTCTTCCTCCTCGGTGGCCCGTGTGGCCCCTGGCTCAGGTGCGGGAGCCTTGGCCTCCTGTTCCTGCTCAGCCCGGCTACGCAGTGCCAGGATACGGTGGTGCAGGGCTGCATACAGCTGGCCAGTGTCCTTGGAGCTGGCCTGGGGAGACAGTGTGTGAGGTGGCAGTGTGTAGCTGGTAGCCAGGCTGGGCAACATCCATACATGTAGACCCTGGCTTGCCGCTGGGCCACACTGGCCCGATCAGCTGACTTCTCTGACAAGGGACTACAAGTGCTGGAAGGCCCTGGAGAGTCAGGCTGGAATATGAGGTCAGAGTGGGGTCTGTCATGTGTAGTAGAGGGGACAGCATGGTGTGCACACAGCTATCGGGAACTGCCCAAGGAGAAGGTTTGTGTCCTTGCTTTGTGACATTAGGACAGTGACCAGCACTGAGCCAGTGTTCCATGCCAGCCTTCCCCTGAGCTCACCGAGATCAGAAAGACCTTGACGCCCTGGTCCTCGGCGTCCGTGGCCGTGATGCGGATGCTCTTTTCGCTGGCCTTGTCCATCTGCATCTGTGCCCACAGCTTCGTGTTCAGGATGAGCCGCAGGCTGCCCTGGGTCCGCATCACTGCAGCAAGGAGGCCACTTAGCTTCACACATGCCCCAACCTGCAGCCCACCTCCAGAAGACCAGGGGAGCCATGCCCTTGCAGGTCTGGAACAGGGCAGGCATGCTCTCATAGAGCCCTCCTGAGATGGAGACCACCTGATCCCACCTCAAGCCCAAGCCCACCACATGTGTGAGGCGGATCCCAACTCTCCCCACCCAGTCAGGCTTATGAGTCCCATCCTCCCTCTCCCTCAAGGCCAGGAGCTCATCTGAGGCTCCAGGAATAAGCATCATACAGGTAGTTCCTGGCTTGCTACCTGTTATGGGGGGAAAAAAAAAACTAGGGCTGGAGATGGCTCGGTAGTTAAGAGTACTGACTGTGTTGGGCAGTAGTGGGCCAAGTCTTTAATTCCAGCACTCAGGAGGCTGAGGCAGGTGGATCTCTGCGAGTTCCAGCCTGGTCTACAAGAGTGAGTTCCAGGACAGGCTCAAAAAAAAAAAAAAAAAAAAAAAAAAAAAAAAAAAAAAAAAAAAAAAAAAAAAAAAAAAAAAAAAAAAAAAAAAAAAAAAAAAAAAAAAAAAAAGCACCGAGCACCAAGTGCTCTCCCAAAGAAACAGGGTTCAATTTCCACATGGTAGCTCACAACTGTCTGTAGTTCCAGTGGGACCCAACACCCATGGCAAAACACCAATGCATATAAAATAAATTTTAAAAACAAAACAAACACAAAAAGAACAACAACAACAAGCCCCCACTACCCCATATGCACAGGGTCACAGGTCACTGCCTAGAACAGTACTATAAATGCTTCCACCAACTTTTGTGTTTTTGTTTTGGGCTTGGCCTTGAACTCACAGCAGTCCTCCTGCCTCACCTCCCAATTCTGGGCTTAAGTTGACTTTTCAAGGGAAAAGTAACCAAATGGGACAGGAGTTCCCCATTTCTTTGGAAGAGCTCACAGTGGATCCCAGGTCAGACTGGGCTATAGAGAGACCATGTTCACAAGGCCCCACCAGGAGGAGGGCAGCTCTGACCGACACTGGAGCAGTGCCTGCTGCTCTGAGGACTCACAGCCCAGGCTGACATGCTCCTGCCGCCACCTTGCTTCCGAGCTGTACTGTTTCCATGAAAGATGCTTGAGCAGAGAGTGGGTGTGCAGGAGCAGTAGGCCCCGGTCAGAGGGCCCGGACACGCAGCCCTGCTCACAGCCATGCCCTTTCCCAGCTGTGGCCCCCACACTTCTGGTTTGGTGTGACCCCGGGCCACCTCTAGGAGGGTCTACCCTTATCCAGTGCTCACCCAGCCGGGACTGTAACGTGCCGTCGTCAGTTGATGCCATGTCATTGAGCCTCAGAAGTCCCCGGCCACGCTCCACCCATGACTGTGAGGCCTTGTCAAACACAAACAGCTTACACTGGATCTGTAACACATGGGGTCAGTGAGCAGGGTATGGGTACCCACGCTCTGTACCCCACCAAACTCAAACTCCACTTCAAATCAAAGCTACCAATGATGCTGGGTATCTCATTACCCCACCTGCCTACCAGTCCGCAGCTATAGTCAGGATGCTGCCAGCCAGCACCCAGCTTTGTTCTTTATACACAGTCATCTCTTTATGTGTTTCGGTTTCTGTGGTGCTGGGAATGGAAGCCAAGCTCTGGCAAGCTATGTTCTACTACGGAGCCATGTACCCTGCCCAAATGCATAAGCAAGGAGAACTCTGGCAACCCAAACACACAGAGATGCCACCTCGCTCCCACTGGAAGGAGTTGCCCAGCTGCAGGGACATCCTACAGTGCTCGGGAAGACAACAGCATGGCAGTCCCTTCCACTGCCGACCCAGAAAGCAAATGAATGTCCTTACAAACATGCACGTGTCATCCTGCCTATGAGGGTTCCAAAGCAGAAAGTACTAGTTCACTGGCACCATGCAGTCCCTTGGGGTGTTACCCAGTCAGGGACAGAAACAACCGACCTAAGGATGCCAAACAGTGACAAAACCAGGGTAAAATTCCACACATCAGAGAATCCTAGAAGTGTTCAGAACTGGGAAACCCAGAGGCAAGGGGAAGATTTGCGGGTGCTAGCTCACTGGACGGGGCTCCAATTGTGACAATGGCTGTGCAACTGGTTTAGGCAAAAACGTTCCAGACTGTCCTGGAACCCTCTCAGTAGCCCAAGCTAGCCTTGAACTCACAGACGTCTCCCTGCCTTCACTGGCTGTTCTGGAAGTCAGGTCTTGCTACGCAGCCCACTCCTGGCCGCCCTGCTCAGCACGCTCACTCTCACCTGCAGCACATTACTTTCCGCCTCCTCCCCCGTGATGACCTCCACTTTCTCCAGCAAACATGTCCACGCTGTGGCCTTAGTGTAGGCAGCGGCTGACTCGGCCAGTGACTCTGCATGAGAGGATCCAAAACCACAACCGAGTCAGCAGGCCTGGGGCTCCTGGGGACCCAAGGAGCCCTGTCCTGGTCAGCAGAGCATGGCCACCCGCCATCCATCCCGGGCACTTCAAGCCGACCTCTCACATCTACTGGGGCCACAGCTGTCCCTGCCTAGTGGTCGGGAGTCTCCTGAGGTGTGTACAGAGCTGTGCCCTACCTTTCTTGGGGGCAGCCTCCTGGGACGATGACTCAGACCCTGACTGGACATGCGTAGTCTCCCTGCTGGCATCTGAGTTGGCTTCATTCAGCTTGGGGGGGCTCTGAGGAAACAAGCGTGCCAGGGCGGAGCTGCTGTGGGTGCTGAGGACAGAGTGAGAGGCCCAGCAGGGACGGCTGCTCAGCACTTCCCAGAGGCCTGAAACCTGAGCACCCTGCAGGGGCCTGTCCTCAACAGCCATTCCTAGTCAGGCTCTCCTTTCAGGACCACACGCTGTGGCAGACCAACAGGAATAAGCTGTAGCAAGGCGACCGTACCAGGTGCCAGGGGCATGACCAGAGTCTGTGGACACCATGGTGGGGCTGGACGCACACCCAGAGGGAGAAAATGGCTGAGAGGAGTGGGTGATGGCTAGACTCTGCGTCCTGGGCTATGAGTTTTCAGAAGCAGGGAATATGCATGCGCCTGCTATCCTGGCTGCCCCTGTCCTGCAGAAGTGGCAGGCATGGCTGATTCTGTGAACAGGGACACAGGCCACCTATCTCAGTGGTGTAGTTTTGGGGCCAGCTGTGGCGCTGGCC